GCCGTGCCTTGCCGCCGGGCCCTGCTGCTGTGCAACGGGATGAGGTACAAGCTGCTGCAGGAGGGCGACATTCAGGTCTGTGTCATCCGGCACCCTCGGACCTTTCTCAGCAAGATCCTCACCTCGAAATTTCTGAGGCGCTGGGAGCCGCACCACCTAACGCTGGCCGACAACAGCTTGGCATCCGCCACGGTGAGTGGCCCCCTGCGTGGCCGTGGAGCTCCCCAAGCTGGGGTCCCCCGGGACCGAGACGCCCCCGCTGGCTGTCCCCGAGTGCGCGGCCCCCGAGTCCCGGCCTGAGCGCGGAGCTGGGCTGGAACCTCCAGACCTGACCCTCCAAGGCAGCCTGGGGAGCCCTTCTTCGTGTCCTGGACACTTAGCCCACCCGGACTGAGTGCTTGGGGACTTTTGCCTGAGTGCCTGGGTTTCCGATGGCTGGGACCCCGGGGTGAACCTTAGACTGGGCCCTGAGGGTAGTGGTGGGGTTTTCTTTACCGAACCCGTTGCCCATCTGGATCAGAGATACAGGGGAAAACAAAACGCAGCCCTCTCCTCCATAAAAACCGTAACCCCCCAGCGCCAACAATTTCCAAAAAGCAACTCCTGCGCTTGCTTTAGCTTTCCTTTATTCTTTTTTTCTGCCGGGCCTGGCAAGGCAAAAACCGGGTGCCTGCCCTTTCTGAAAACCTCCTTCGCACGTTGGGAGGTTGGAGGGGGGGAGGGGGTCGAGGTCCAGGACCCGCTCAGGCCCTGGGTAGTCGAGTTCTCTGGGTAGAAGAAGCTGGGCTGCCCAGCCTGCCCTTGCGTTGTCTGTGGAGCGTGTGTAAGCATGTTTTGTGGCTGCGTCCTGTTTTGTTAGTTTTTTGCTGTGTGGCCAGGGCCGGGTCAGCTAGATGAGATGGAGAAAGGAGGATCTTACTAGTTGCTTTCGGAAATCGAATCTGCAAATGGTGGCCTTCTTCCTCCTAGGGACAGACAGCTGTGGTGGGGTCGAGGAGGGGGAGTGGGGGCGGTGGGCAGGGCCTAAACAGGATGCTTTGTGTTTTCCAACAAGGGCAGTTTCAAATACAGGCTCTGGCTGGGCCTTAGCTTGGCGCTTGGGGACCCATCTTTGTAGGGGCCCCCTTCTTGTCTAGAATGTGCCTTCGTCCCCACCATGGCAGGCTCCATGGTGTTTACTAAACACCATGGGAAAGGGAAGAATTCACTGCCTGCTCACACCTGTGCCAAGAAAGCCCAGCCAGGAAACAGGGTGTTGCTTACATGCATGCCACAAATGTGTAGCATGTGTAGACATTTCCTCGGCATCCATGTTCCCTTGGTGGTGTGTCACAGACTGTGACACATGCTCCTAAGAATGGGGAGGGGGAAAAAGTTAGCCTAGACACCCTACTCCTTGAGTCTACTTCCCCTACCCCTGAGAGCGTTGTGGCATACGAGGACTTTTATTCTGAATTTTGGGTCTGATGTGCTTAAAGCCCCTATTTTTTTTCTATGCTCTGGGCATGTTGGTGCAGTAACTGCAGACTTTGTCCCCAGGAGGATTGAGGGTTGCTGGAGGCGGCCCAGTCTTTCTCCTAGATTGGTGGTGTGTGTTCGTAAACCTTCCTTGAGTCATAGGCCTCGGCCTTGATTTTCATTTGATTGGCTAGTACTGAGGCTTTCAGGTCCCAAAGGTGGTAGGTAACCTTCCCTGGGCTCTGGAGCCCCCAAGTCTGGCCTTTGCATTATTACCTGGCTGGGTGTGTGTTGGGGGGGCGTTATTAGGTTCTGTTCTTTTTCCTGCCATCCTTCCAAATGCAGAGGAGTTGTCAGGGAAGGACAGTAGTTGAGAGAAACAGTGACCTGCTCTAGGAAGGACAGGACATTCCCTGGTCCTCCAGGGCACAATCATGGTGTGGCTAGCTGATCTTCTTGCTTTGGGAGAGGTGAACTAAGGAGACTAGAGGCCCCTTACTTTCCCTGGCTGCTCAAGAGGTCTGTCTGTTTGAGAGAGTTAGAAAGGAATCAGGCCCGACAATCTCTAGCGCCCAGGGCCCCTTGTCTACCCTTGAATAGGTCCGGGGGGCTACCTCTGAGGAACACCTGAGTGTCCTGTGTGTGGCCCTAGGTTATCTGAGGAACAAGTTGGGTCTTGGCAGAGCCTTGTTCTCTGTTAGAAAACAGGGAAAAAGGAAATGGGAGGAAGTGTCTCACAGGCTGGCATAATCCTGTTCTTCCCTTTCCTCACCTGGCATGAGGGAATTCCTTCAGTGTAGCTTTTGCCTTGTGGGGGCGGCAATGGGGTCCTCCAGTGGAGGCCTCTAGTGGAGGTGTGTGGCTCCCCTACCCCTAGGGCCTGTGTGGATGGAGGTGTGGCCAACAGGGCTTGGAGCAGTGGCCTCCAGGCCAGAGGTAGGGATAGGGCTTGCTGCTAGAGATCTTGTCCCATGTTGAGATATCTGCTTGGTGTCCACTCCCTAGGAAGTGGAGGAGCCTCCTTGGGGTTCCCTTAGGCCTGGGCATTATGTAATCTGTCTGCATTTTATAGTGCGGCCCAACCACTCTATTGAGAAATATTTGCTCAAATGAAACAAAGGTGAATTTGAGTGCAGTTCATTCCCAGAAAACCCTTTGTAGCCCCTAGCCCATCCTTGAGTTGTCCATGTAGAAATGTGTCTCATGGAGTGGTGAAGTATATATTGCTCTTATGAGGCCCAGTTCAGAGCTGTCTGAGGATTATCCGGCTAATTGTGTGGACTTCAGGAACAAGACCCAGAGTGACTGATCTGGATTCAAACCAGTCAACAAACAAACCACTGAGTCGGCTGTCTACAGTGATTCAGTTACCTGAATCATGAGGGATACAAGAGGCTTGGACCCCAGCTGCACTGGGCTGGGGTGCAAGCCAACTTTCTGGGGTTTCCTAGTCTCTCCTGGCATGGGTCTCCAGCTGGTGACACACTTAGTGTGGAAATCTTTTGGTTCCCTGGGGAAGGAGACCCAAAAAGGAATTTGGTGCCAGGGGACCTGACACCCCTCGCCTGACCTGGCTGTAAACTTTGCCCTCAGTGGGGTCAGGTCAGAGCTTGCCCTGTGCTGTCTACCAGGCCGGTTACTGATTAAACTCTTGCAGAAGCAACAGCACGCCAGGTTTGATGTGCCTAGGAGACTTTGGATCCTTTGGAACCAGAATGCTTGTCAACAAAGAGGAAGCTCCCCAGCTTCTGTGGGAGGGGTCATAGGGAGGGGGGTTACCTCCTGGGAGACAGAGGCGGTACCTTCTTGGGGAAGGGCCCTGCCTGCCCACACGGATTCTCATTCCTCATTTACACTTCCCCTTCCGTGGGATCTTTCTGGACTCCGGGTGGCTGCCCACTGTGGGGACTCTCTAGCCAGCCCAGGTTTTTGTACAAGTGTCCCCATTGGGGAGGACAGGAATCCATCTTGCCATTCGTTGCTTGGCTAAATTTGATCACCTGCTAGACGTGTTTGTCTTTTGTCTGTAGCCTTTGTTTCCACTGCGCCAAAGAAGTACAGAAAAGCACCCCACCTTTCATTTCATCTCACCGTTGAAAGCAAAACAGAACAAAACAAAAACCTAACAAACGGGCCCACGGTTTCAGAATGGTGGTTCTAATCCGAAAAGTCTACTCTTGGCTTATCGTGCAGGGGTTTGGACACAAGGGATGGGGTAGCCTTCTTTATTCTCCAGCCTTGTTCCTCCAGGACTGCCGCTTGCATTGTCTCCTCTGCTGCTCGGCTGCAATGCCTCCAGGAATCTGGTTCGGTGAACAGACACTGCCTTCGTTTCTGTCCATGGTTTTTTTCCCCCCTCTGGAGTGTCTGAGCATCCATCCTGTGAACTTGGAATGTGTTTCAGCAAAATGCTTCTGAGATCTACGGTGTGGTCATTTCCTAGCTAAGTGTCACCTCCAGGTGCTGGGGTCTTTTTCTTGAGAATTAAATCCTCCATCCCTAGGGACCCCCATCCATGTACACAAATGCTAGTGTGCTAAGGTTTTTTTGTTTTGTTTGTTTTTGTTTTTTTCTTTTGCCATGTAGGCCCTTCTTCCCTCCTTTTATGATTCTGGCATTTAGTAAGCACTTTTCTTTTTATGTCACAAGTAGGTTTTGGAGTGCATCAAATTTGTTTCATAGATGTTTGTGTGTTCAGAGATGGGGGCAGGGATGGTGCAGACAAGCGTGGGTAGACAGTATTCTCTGTGGCCATGTGGTGTGGCCTGCCTTCCACAGGCTGTAGGAAGTTGGTGCATTTTGAGGTGCCCTTCCAGGTAATAGGTGTTTTGCTGTGTGACAGTGTGCTCTCCAACCAGGCCGCAGGGAAGGGAGCCTTGTACTAAGAGTCTGGTTTTGGGGACCCAGAGTGGCTTGTGTGTGGCCCTGTTTGCTCACTTGGTAGAGGGAAAGGACTCTCTGGGGCATTTTGTGGGGGCACAGAACTGAATCATCCCAAAGGCAAAGCGCCCTAGGTACCCCACCGCTGGCCACCTACCCCCCAACTCTCTCCAGCCTGGTGTTTCTTCGGGATAGATATTTGAGATGGACTAGTTATGCCTTTGATTAAAGGATTAAATGAGACAGAGCAAAGCAGCCAGCCTTATGTGTCACCACCATGGGGCGGAACAAACTTGAGTTTTACTGTTGTCACGTGGAGCAGGGCTGGAGCCTAAGGTTGCAGCTTCCTCTGGGCACCTTGCTTTCCCTGAAGGGCCTTGATTTGTCTGCACATGTAGGGTGACGATTGCGCTCCATTTATTATGGTGACAATTCAGATGTTGACAGTGGTTCTGGTGAACACCTGGTGATAGCAGTATGGCCAGCAGACTGGCAGAAACAGTTTCTATGGGGAGAGTCCTCTGAGTGAGCTCTGCAGAAATGAAGGATTATGGGTTGAGCACTTAAAGACTCTTGCCTCCATGCCCCACTACTGGAATATGATCCTTGGAACCACAAGGTGGAAGAAGAGACTCCCACAAGCTGTCTTGACCTCCACACACATGGGCATGTCTCCTACTCCCCTACACCAAAAAGACACATTTTTTTTTTTCTTTTTGGTTTTTTGAGACAGGATTTCTCTGTGTAGGCTTGACTGTCCTGGAAGTTGCTCTGTAGACCAGGCTGGTCTCAAATTCATAGAGTCTGCCTGCTTCTGCCTCTGGAGTGCTAGTATTAAAGGCGTGTGCTACCAC